CTTTCTTTTTTCTTTCTTTCTTTCTTTCTTTTTCATTTCTTTCTTTCTTTACATCTCCTATTCATTGGCTTTCTTTCTTTCTTTCTTTCTTTCTTTCTTTCTTTCTTTCTTTACATCTCCTATTCATTGGCTTTCTTTCTTTCTTTATTTATTTCTTTCTTTCTTTCTTTACATCTCCTATTCATTGGCTTTCTTTCTTTCTTTCTTTCTTTCTTTCTTTCTTTCTTTACATCTCCTATTCATTGGCTTTCTTTCTTTCTTTCTTTCTTTCTTTCTTTTACCTCTCTATTCATTGGCTTTCTTTCTTTCTTTCTTTCTTTCTTTCTTTCTTTCTTTTTCTTTTCTTTGCATCTCCTATTCATTGGCTTTCTTTCTTTCTTTTATTTCTTTATTTCTTTCTTTCTTTTCTTTCTTTCTTTTCTTTCTTTCTTTCTTTTTACTTTCTTTACATTGGCTTTCCTTTTATTTCTCATTGGCTTTCTTTTCTTTCTTTCTTTCTTTCTTTTTTCTTTTACATCTCCTATTCATTTGGCTTTCTTTCTTTCTTTATTTCTTTATTTCTTTCTTTCTTTCTTTCTTTCTTTTATTTTTTCTTTCTTTCTTTCTTTCTTTCTTTACATCTCCTATTCATTTATCTTTCTTTCTTTACATCTCCTATTCATTGGCTTTCTTTCTTTCTTTCTTTCTTTCTTTTCTTTCTTTCTTTCTTTCTTTACATCTCCTATTCATTGGCTTTCTTTCTTTCTTTCTTTCTTTCTTTCTTTCTTTACATCTCCTATTCATTGGCTTTCTTTCTTTCTTTCTTTCTTTATTTCTTTCTTTCTTTCTTTCTTTCTTTCTTTCTTTACATCTCCTATTCATTGGCTTTCTTTCTTTCTTTCTTTCTTTCTTTCTTTCTTTACATCTCCTATTCATTGGCTTTTCTTTCTTTTTCTTTCTTTCTTTTCTTTCTTTATTTCTTTCTTTCTTACATCTCCTATTCATTGGCTTTCTTTCTTTCTTTATTTCTTTCTTTCTTTCTTTCTTTCTTTCTTTCTTTCTTTCTTTCTTTCTTTCTTTCTTTACCTCTCCTATTCATTGGCTTTCTTTCTTTCTTTCTTTCTTTCTTTCTTTACATCTCCTATTCATTGGCTTTCTTTCTTTCTTTATTTCTTTATTTCTTTCTTTCTTTCTTTCTTTCTTTCTTTCTTTCTTTCTTTCTTTCTTTCTTTCTTTACATCTCCTATTCATTGGCTTTTCTTTCTTTCTTTCTTTCTTTCTTTTTTTACATCTCCTATTCATTGGCTTTTTTCTTTCTTTTATTTCTTTCTTTTTTCTTTCTTTCTTTCTTTCTTTTTACATCTCCTATTCATTGGCTTTCTTTCTTTCTTTCTTTCTTTCTTTCTTTTCTTTACATCTCCTATTCATTGGCTTTCTTTCTTTCTTTCTTTCTTTCTTTTCTTTCTTTCTTTTCTTTACATCTCCTATTCATTGGCTTTCTTTCTTTCTTTCTTTATTTCTTTTCTTTCTTTCTTTACATCTCCTATTCATTGGCTTTCTTTCTTTCTTTCTTTATTTCTTTACATCTCCTATTCATTGGCTTTCTTTCTTTTTTCTTTATTTCTTTTCTTTCTTTCTTTCTTTCTTTACATCTCCTATTCATTGGCTTTCTTTCTTTTCTTTTTCTTTCTTTCTTTCTTTCTTTACATCTCCTATTCATTGGCTTTCTTTCTTTCTTTCTTTATTTCTTTACATCTCCTATTCATTGGCTTTCTTTCTTTCTTTCTTTCTTTCTTTCTTTCTTTCCATTCTCGTAGTTATTCTTTTCTTTCTTTTCCTTCTTGCTTACAATTTCTTTCGTTCTCTTTCATTCGTTCATTCTCTTTTCTTGCTTTCTTTCTTTTACATTTCTTTTACATTTGCAATAACGAGATAAAGTCGGAACATATTGACTCAGCGTGAGACTAGTCGTAGCAACTGGGCAATATTTGCCTATATTCTGTATGTATATTTATAGGCAGTCTATTTATAGGCACCGACTATATGTCAAAACATCTCACGGCGGAGAGATTGATTCGTTTTCTACGGCTTTTGAAACCTTTGCAGAAAATATTTTTAGATTGTAAGATCTTTTTAGCGGGAGTAGATAATGATGATTTTACTGATACAAGTCTTACTAATTAACCCATAGCTGGGGGAGAAGTGATGGATTTAGGCCTGTTTATATAACCGAGATGAGGCATTGTAATTATTTACATTATTTCCTTTCTTCGTGAATATGGTAATGAAGATGAAAACAACAGGTCGAATAATGTAAATTAGTGCGTACGTGAATTTTACGGTATTAGAACTCGGCTCTCAGATTGACAATTCCGAGCCATTATCCATTACTCTACCGGCACATGTAAGCTTACAGCACCTGGTATTCGCAAGCAGTCACCCATCTAGGTCTTAACCAGGCTCGGCGTTGCTCAACTCCGGTGATCGTACGGGATCAGGTGATTCAACGTGACATGGCCGGAAATGTACGGTGGAGTGAGGTAGGTAAATTATTAGGATTAAGAAAAAACAAAAAAAAAAACTGAATTTCTTTGTGATAGGTAGGTCTGCGATGTACTGTTTGTTAACAAGTAGTAAGTCTAGATTTTCTTTGTGATGTAACTTTTAACTTTCTTATCTAGAAACTTTAAGACAACTCTTAAGTCTCTCCGTTCATCACGAAAGATTTTATACGACAGAAGAAATCCCTAATTTATTTCTAGCCGTTTTTCTACCGTCTGACAAGCACGCAACAAGTTGCACTGAGTCTGTCTCCTAAAAGACCAGTTGAACATAATGCAACAATGCAGCACAATGACTACAAGCAAAAGAAATATTTGTGACTTATCTACGTCTCCCGAGTATCTAGCTAAAAACTGCATTATCAACTTCTGCAGCACGGACTGTTTATAAAACTTCTTGATTCTTGTTATTACATTAGTGAAAGACCGCATTACTTTGCTGAAATAATCCTTCTGGCAAAATTCATATTCTTTCCTTGAAATTTTCTTCTTGGTGTCACAGAGGTGAGATGCATTTTGATTATTCCATATACTGAAGTGCCAAAAATTGTGAGTAAATTGTAAGACATTCTCAGACCATCCGTACGAAGGTAAATAAAAAAAAATGATCCACACTTTCGCCATAATATATCTTTAGGTTTGTCACACTGCCTTTTGCTCATGTGCACTTATAGTTGGCACTATTGTGGTCACGGGATCAAAGTTTGAGCTTATTCACGCCAGCTTTCTTGCTGATGTTACAATGTAAGCATGGCCGCTCCTCTAGCAGTGTGCATCAAGGAGGAACAAAGAGCAGTGATCCGAATCTGCAGAGAACATGCTAAATTCATCAATGCTAACACTCCAGTATCATCTCTCGAGTTTGTTAAATCTTCTCGTCATTGTCAGAGCTTGACGGGAGTCCTGCTCATTCTTCGTGTGCCACACGTCTCCGATATAATTTTAAGCTTCTCGATAAGCTCATACACACTTCATATTGTGTTAAAAAAAACACAGATTAATTTCACTTGCTGACACAACTTCCAACCAGAAAAATCGGATTGCTGCTCTTTGTACCTCTTTGGTGCACACTGTTAACGGAGCGGCCAGGTTTACACTGGGCAAGAAAACTGGCACGATCAGCCTCAAACTTAGATCTCGTGACCACGAGAATGCCAGCGCGGATATTTGTTTCTTTGATTTTGTTTAGCAATATGTAAATCTCAATAGGTTATTAAATACTGAAATCTAAAAATTTTGAACAATTTTATAGACACATGGACACAGTGGATAAAGGCGTTAGTTAGATCCAGTGACAGGACCCAAAGAGTGTGAGTTCAATACCCGGTTAAGGCAGTGGAGAACTTTCAGAGGGAAATTAGCAGGAGATAACTGATAACTGACATCCATCAAACATGGCACGTGGAACTAGAACAGTCTACTCCAGTGAGCGAACTAAAGTGTTCAGTTCGACATTCCAACCACCTGAAGAAGGCCGGAGCGTACAACGGCCGAAACGTTGTGATAAATAAGCCGACAAAGATGAGGAAAATAGTCCGAATAATGTAAATAATGTAAATATACACTATATATAAGCATTTTTGATAATTTTACTATCAATATGTATCGTTTTTTTAATATAAAAATGTCTTTTTTATACTATAATGTTTCTTTTTGTTTGAATGTTCCCTATTTATCCAGAACTAGCAATACGATTTTTCACACTTCCTTTCAGATGAATAGATAGATTAGTTTTAACTCAGTTTAATGACCAGAGTTTCTTAGGAATCTTGTCTCCAGCCCATCCAGAGTAAATTTACCTAAGCCAATATCACGGCCATAATCGAGACGAATCTGTGGAATATAGTGAGTGCCGGTGTATTCGCATACAGCCGACTTTGGATGTCATGATAGCTTGTTCAGTGACGTGCTGAATTGCATCATCACACTGGAAACAGGTGCTACCACCAAGGATCGTAGTGAACCTGGGAGCAACAATAATTAAGACGGGATTCCATGCTCCTCAAAACCTCCTGATCAGAGGCCTTACTTCCGGATGTAGTTTACCGTCATAGCCAAGCGTAGAAAGTGTGGATAATTTTTTATTTACCTTCGTAAATATACAACGTGATTGAAAATTTAAATTTTTCCCATTTTAAAATACTTATAATTTATTTATTAACTACAATTTTAAAAAGCAATGGATATGAGAGGAAATCGTTTAGCATGAGTATTTGTTTAAAATTCGATATGGGCATCAGATTTCTCTACCAGGAATCGCGTCAACTGATTTCACCAGGAACTCTTGTGGTATGGAAGAGATAACTTATTGTATTCGCCTTTCAAGTTCTTCCAAAGTCTTGGTTTGATACAGTAGACTTGCTTCTTTAACCAAACCCGAAAGAAAAAAGTCACAGTGTGTTAAGCCCGACTTCCTGGCTGGCTACTCATCCATAAAATAGGAAGTTACTTTTTAGTCCCTGTTTAGATGCAGATGACACCACGGTGTATGGAAAGTCCAATAATCTGTACGGACAGAACCTGACAGCTGAATTCTCTCTTCTCCCAGTTCAAGAGGGGAAAACCTGTCTTCTATCTTTCAATACCTTCAAAATAGAGTTAGTAACGGTCTATCCCCATCAAGTAGACCGTAAAACTTCTCCATTCTGGATGACTGGACCTACTCTTAAGGAAGGCGCCTCACCTCGAATGTCTCTTGGGTTGAAAGCTCACTCCAGACTTCGAATGGAACTCTTATATCCGTACCGCCGTTAAAGGTGCTGAAAGAATGGTCGATTATTCGTAGAAAATGCCTAATTCCATCTGCTATACACCCTTTTTACCAATCAGATTAGACCAAAATTGGAGTGTTGCTTCCATATCTGGGCTAGTCCTGACCTGTCTTCACTGTCCTGCATGGAAAGAGTTTAAAAGCGATTACGATTGAGGTGATGAATTATTTTCCACCCTGCAACCCGTTTCCCACCGACGAAAAGTTGCTAGTCTGTAGATATTTTATTGTTATTTGCATGGTAAATGTTCAGACGAGCTACATTCGTTAGTTCCACCAGTTCAGACCTTTACAGCTAGCATCCGCCATCTCATGTATCTCAACATCACCCCATTCGCTTTATATTCCATTGGTAAGGAAGAAGTAGCATTCAGTCAGCTTCTTCCCCAGAATTATTACTTTCTGGAACAGACTCCGGACCGAGTGGAAACGTCCCTGTCCACTACAATCTTAATTTCTTCAAACGTTGTCTATCCTACATATCCGAATAATATTCACGGTTTCCTCCTTCCTTATGCACAGGCAACAATCTTATTGAGTGAACTTGAGTGACTCAGGAAACATCCTCATTTCGCTTGTATTCCATTGGTGAGGAGGAAGTTCCACTTGGCCACCTTCTAACCCCAGAACTGCCACTTTGTTGAACAGACCACCTAGTGTAATAACGGAATCAGAATGAGAAATCTGATAGCCGAGTTCGAATTCCATTCCGGCTCGTTACATCCACTTGCATGCAGATATCCTTGGGAAAAGTATAAATCCATCTCCCCCCAGATATAGGTGAAATAGTAGGAACTGTATCTGGAAAACTCATTGTTATTCTCAAAAATGTTAATGCAATATTCACTCGTATCACAGTGAGCGTCCTGGGTATGACGATAAACTACACCCGCGTTCTGCAATAGCAAGGCCTCTGATAATACGTTTTAGAAAAAATAATATTACCAGCTATACATTTTTGAAAAAGTAATATTACCAGCTATACGTTTTTGAAAAAAATATTATCAGCTATACGTTTTTGAAAAAAAAATGATATAACCAGCCATACGTTTTTGAAAAAATAATATTACCAGCTATACATTTTTGAGGAAAAAAAATTAACAGAAATAGATTTTTGACAAAACAAAAATATTACCAAGAAAAAAATGTTGTCGGCATTAAATGACCCATTGAGGTTGATATGCCTTAAAACAAAACAAACCAAGCCAAAGTATCAAAGTGATATTCTTAAAATCTTTTTAAATAACACACAAATGGTTGATAATCCGTAAAATACTCAAATAAAACAATCAATTTGCTTAACCTGGCTACTGAAGTAGAGCTACTCAGTAAAGAAACTATTCATTACACTAATAAATGCACTTAGAAACGAGCACTTAAATCATTGCACTAAGGTAAGCGCACAATATTTTTCAGGTTCAGTTAATCTGACATGAGGTTAATCATAATAGGATCCCTTAGTAAGGATCGAACACCACGTTACCAAAGGGATCCTATAGATAAGCTTTTAACCATAGTATGTACCTACATTTTTAAGCTTCAGTTAATACGATAGAAAACATTCATTTTGAGGCACTCAAATTCATTTCCCTAACCAATTGGTCTTAGACGAATTGCACTACGGCAAGATCTCAGTATCAATCTCAACTTAGTGAGCAATCACATTTACTGGTCATCCAGTGAGGATCGAATTCATTGCACTAAATTTATATACATTTATAATCAGAGAACTAGAGGAAGATGCGCAGGAAAGTATATCATATGTTCTAATGGTCCTAAAAAAAAACTGCGTCGTTCTAAGATATATTTTCTTTTCGTTTTCTTTTATTAAATAATAAAGAATGAAATCCAAGAAAAATAACCGTTTCTTCTTTGAGGTTGCCTGAGAAAAATCGCATTCAATGATTATGGATTCGGAGTCGCAATGATAAAGCCATTTCTGAAAACTATTTCGTCCAGGAAATGTCGGATTTGATTAACTTTCAAAGAATCAGATACATTTTATTTACCAAGACGGAAGCTATTCGCAGAGGATAATTACTAAGAGTGCTAGATTCCATTCAAAGATGTGGGTGGGGATCTTAAAATGATTCTATGGTGACACACAGAAGGTCTTCGGAAAGTGAACACACCAGGCACATATAGGCAACGCTCCACACACACAAACGAAGTCTGGTGTGCTTGTTGCCA